TCCAAATCCTCAATTGGTTAGAGAAACTTTATACACAATTTGTAGATTTACACTCAGTTAGGTTTCTTAAATTCACGTTTTAACTTTACGGTTTAAAGTATAGATACTGGGTTTCATGGAAGGTTGTATATTCCAAATAGGAAAGAAAGATAAGAGCAGCACTTCAGTATGGGTTTTGTATTTTTCTTTTCCTATTCCTGCGCTTAGCTCCCAACCCACAAGTGACAGTGGCGGAAGTACATAGGGGCGTGGGGGTGCACCAACCCCTGCAGTATATTTTCTTTCTTTTATACGATAGTAATATATATATTATATATATTAAATTTAATAAACCAGCTCCTGCAGTCCAGATAATCAAGCCAACCCATCAGCCCTCAATACCTCAATCCTGGTGCGGCCCAATTAGCCTAAAGTTGCTGTTCTGCTCAAACGCTAAAACAACCGAGCATAGCAACAACCATGTCTTCTACACGTAGCAGCAGAACTGTACGCACTACGCCAGCAACTCAGCAAGCCAGTAACTAGGCCGTCTGGGCAATCTATCTTGGAATCTTGGCGAGCCGGCCATTCAACGATTCTTCATCTGGTTAATTTATTACTCCCTCCGTCCCAGGGAGAAGTTCCCGGGTTGACTTTCACGCATATTAAGGAAATAATAAAGTTACTGGGGGGTAAATTTTACTGTTTGGCACTGTTTCGACACTGTTTAGCACTGTTTCGACACTGTTTGGCACTGTTTTGCACTGTTTGGCATTGTTTTGATGTAAGATAACTTTCCATTTAGGGAAATGAGAACTTTTTGTTGGGACTGCCAAAAAAGGAAAGTGGAAACTTGTCCCTGGGACGGAGGTAGTAGTTGTTAATTTTTAATAGTATTTGGAATGGTTGGTAACGGTGAAGGGCTGAAATTATTTGTTAAAGGTTAATTTTAATTTTGTAATTGTTATTCTTTTTTGTAGTATTTCTAAATTAATAATTTATTACGGAGTAATTGTTAATTTTTATAATAATCTCTTTAATTGTAGTATTTTTAGGTTGTTTGAGAAAGAATCCCGATGTTACGATTTTATGTAAAGGTTTTCAAAGGTAGTAAAGGGCCGAACATTGAGGGTTCTTCATCGAACAATGTAATTTCTTCGTCGGATAATATCACACCTAACGTTGAAAATAATGTTAAAAGCCTCGGATAGAAGATGAAATTTCAGAGGACGACATTGTTGGTGACCCTGGATTGCGTAACAAGATTGGAGAAGAATTCTCGACAAATTGCTTGGTGTGTTACAAGAAAAAAATCGTGTGCCAACACCTAGTGTAGAGATAAGTTAAATACGGAGGGAGCAATTTTGTTTATTGCTTTATTCGTGATAAACTAGTACGTTGTATATGATTTCTTTATTAATGAGCCCCTGCAAGTCACGAGTCCTGGTTCCGCCACTGCCCACAACTTCATTCCTGCTTGAACATTTTAATTCCACGAGTCGTAAAATTCCATCACCTAAGGTTTTGGCTTCAAAATGCTTAAAGCATAACTCCCAGGAAGAATATCAGATTCCATGTAGCTTCAAAGGACTTATTGTTTTATTTTGTCTAATTAAAGATTATTAAGGAAAAGCTTACCAGGAGGAGACGTTATCAAGGTGCCACATTTACCTGAGTATTTTGAGTTCAACTTTTCTATCATGTAAGTTCACTACCACCTGTACATGTTTGTTCAACCCAATGAAAGGAAGAAGTCTGGTTGATTTTAATAGATGATTTTAGACTATTTGCTATTATGTGAATTTGGTGAATTATCTGATGAGTTATTTTATTTGCTGAATTAAGTTATGTTTATTATCTGGCATGGTCAAGATTTGTCAGTACTTTTGTTTTCAGATTTGATGATGTTTTTAGTCAAATGTCACCATAAAAAGAACTAATATTTAAAGTGAAAGAAAAGGTGATATGTACTCGGGAACAAGTTCCCTCAGATTAGCAGTTTTCAGTTTCAGATAGTCCGATATGTTTAGTGGGTCGCTCCCCTGAGCTGTCGGATTGGCGCCTTTGAGTACATATCACGGGCCCACAGAGTAAAATTAGCCACAAAGAGTTATACAGAAAGTTTAATGAGATCTCTTTTAGAAAGTTTTACAGAAAGTTACGTTGTTTTTGAGATCTCTTTCAGAAAGTTTTACAGAAAGACGTTTTTGAGATCTCTTTTAGAAAGTTTTACAAAGTTGTTTTGAGAAGAAATTTTGAGATCTCTGCAACAGTTTTGAGAAATTACCATAGAAAATATTTTCCTTTTGAGATCTCACTCAGAATGTATTTGAGAAGTTATGTGTTAGTTATTTGTTCAGTGCATGCTTATAGCCTAAATTTATCTATTGATAAATTGGCATAGACTTCTAGATATTTTTGTGGATCCATAGTGACTTACTAAGCGTAAAGCTTATCAGTTTTCTTTCTTCGCATGTACAGATACTAAGGGTAAGGCCAAGGCCTAGGAAGATGATTAGGGAGTGGAATGCGTTCCAAGATGAGTTAACGGGAACGACCTTGGCGACTTTTAGCTAGATATTATTTTGTTTCAGTATTTTAGTGTTATAATAAAGAGATTATTATTATTTATTTTATTTGAGAATTTAATGTTTGAATAAATTCCTGGATCCAGGTGGTTATCACATTTGCTGGTGATAAGTATATTTTATTGAGTTTTTATCAAGAGTTATACTTTAATTATATTTGAGATTTTATCAGGGTTATTTTCTTAAATAGACGGCCGTTAATTGCAGTTAGTTTTAAAAGTAGTAAGTTAGTGTAACGATTCCTTAGCTTTAACCCTGAGAGGGGCGTTACAACAAAACACAATTAATGAGATTGCTTTGTATTTAACTTATGACGTTGATTTTGAAGAAGATGATGAATTTGACGTTCTACAATGGTGGAAGGGGAAAGAAAGAATGTTCCCGGTTTTAGCAAAGCTGGCTAAGCAAGTGCTATCAATGCCGGTTTCAACAGTTGCCGTGGAACAAGAATTTAGTTCGGCCGACAAAGTGCTAACGGCATCTAGAACAAGCTTGAGCGCGGAATCTCTTGAGACGCTTATATGCTACCACGATTGGTTGAAGGCGGTCCGTAGAGCTCAAGAAATGAGCATCACCCCCTCCCAACACTTTATGGATGAATCAACCGAGGGTGGCTCTATCTATGCCGGAGATTCCGATTGATTAGTATTTCAAAATTAATTATAAAATGTATTTCATGTTTTTAATTTTTCCTTCAATTCTCAATTGTAATTTCTAAACCTGTAGTTCATATTCAAATAAATATACGTTAAATTTTTTTTATATGTAGCACTTCTCAAATTTTAAATGTAGTTCCTATTTCATATTTTTTATAAATGTATTTCATATTGTTTTATCTCAATTCTCAAATGTACTTCCTATTTCTAATAAAAGCACTTGAAGTTGATTTTTAATATTCATCACTTATATGAATAAGTAGCCAAATCACTCAAAAAAACAAAAAAAATCTAATATAGCCGTTGGGAATAATCCCAAACGGCTATATAGCAGTTGGAGGGCTGGGGGGGTCCGGGGGGTTTATTCTCCTACTTATACATCTACCAAATCTACCATTTTAAAGATAGAAAGTAATTCTTCCATGTCTTCCCTTATGCGAGACAATTTTGAGAAATGGAAGGACCCGAAGACCGGGATGTGGTGGGCAATTTGCATTTGGTGCAAGAAAGAGTGTAGCTTGGGCCGTGCAAGAGGATACGGGATGCCCATAAAACATATGAAGTCCTGTGACAAAGGCAAAAGCAAGCAGAAAACAACAACCAACGGTGGCAGAAATTTCGATTAATTATTTATTTGAAAATAAATTTCCATATTATAATTTTTTCTCAATTCTCAAATGTACTTCCTATTTCAAATAAATGCACTTGAAGCTTGTTTTTTAATGTCCAAAAGATATATAAATGTATAATTAAATAGAAATCAAAAAATAATAATATGGCCCGACCCGGCCCGGTACCCGGGCGGGTGACCTGGCCCAAACCGGAACCGGCCAAGGGGCGGGTCAGTCCCAGGCTCCCATATCCTGAACCGGCGGCCCGACCGGGCCTAGGCCCAGCCCAGGCCCGAACCGGCCCAAGCCCCGTGGCCACGACTAGAAGAGAGTAGGAAGAATTGGAGAAGGGGTGTGAAATTATGTCTAAAAATAGGAGTATATAGAGGGTTTTTTTAACCCCCACCCCCAACCCCCCAACCCCCCCCGGTACAAACCCAACGGCTATATAGCCGTTTGGGGTGTGGAACACCAGCCCAACAGCCATTTTGGCTGAAAAGAAAAAATAAAATAAAATGTGACCATTAGGCCCGGACCCATGCTCGACCTGGCCGGGCCGGGCCGCCATATCCAGGACCCAGCCCGGAACCGCCTCAACCCCCGGGCCTAGGCCCGACCCGAACCCGTGAATCGGGCCAGTTCCGAGCCCGCACAGTAGCAGGCCAGGCCGGTTATGGGACGGGCGGCCCGTACCGAGGCCAGGACTATGGATGTTTTTACTTGGACTGTAATTTGCTGGTCTGGTCTGGTCTGGTCTGATCTGGTCTGAACTGGTCTGGTAAGGTCTGGTTTCTTTGTATTTTTATAACTATCCAAGTCTGGTCTGGTCTGGTCTGAACTGGTCTGGTCTGGTCTGGACTGGTCTGGTCTGGGGCAAATTACAGTCCAAGTAAAAACATCCTAGATGGAAGTGGCGGGAAACAAAACAAAACAAAAAACAGGAACGGGGCCAGGACAGGACCGCCAGAATACCCACAATCGACATAAACTAGGATTTAAACGGATCGCCGGTCCAAGACTGGAATTAGGACCTGGACCAGCCAGTCCGAAACCAGACCTCATCATACCAGACCAGGTCTAGACCTAGGTTGGATTATTGATTCATGGAGAATACCAAGGTATTTTGATTTATCTCTATTCACCATTCCACATATTTGTGAATATTTGTGAATTGTTTATACTTAAATTTTCACATTTTAAAGTGTTTACGATGCTTCAAATATTCAATTTGCCATTACATATGGTCAATGACTAACCACCGGAGGTCCAAAAGTACAATCAACATACATCATCTGGATAAATTATTATGTATGCAAAACCTACGTGCCCCAGCCAAACCACTTCCACAGTTTCATGAACACAATATACTTTGGTCTAAGCCAAATTTTGCATTAACCTACCACACGCTGAACAAGTCGCTTTACAACTTCTTAGTGCCAATGGCTGATGATTAAACATAAATAACACAAAACATCCCACAGCCAAACAGCAAAGAGCGTAATGAGAACTTGACCATCTCTTAATATTATATATCCATTTATGTTACAACAAAGCCCCACATAGCGCATGGCTAGTCATCATCACTGGATTCACTGCCACAACCAAACTCAAACTGTTTCGTGAATCCTCCGCCAAGAGGATGCTGTATGAGTCCGGGATGGCTTTTACAGAGTAAATTGCAGCCATTAAGCCCTGTCTCTGAAAAGGTGAGTTTTGAAAAGAATCAGCAATTGTAAATAAAAAAAAGGTTTATATAGTTCATAATTACTAGTCCAACCTTGTATTCACAAAAGTCAAAACTTACGATTGAACTAGTACTTGGAAAATAAAGCTCAAAGACATTAAAGAATCTTTAACCTTTAAGCCTTTACCCAATCCACTCTTCCTATACCTTAAGAAAAAAATTAGACAAAAACATAGGGTGTGTGAAAGGAGAAATAAGGGGGTTAGGGGAGTTGAATACGCTTATTAAGTGTCTATAGCTTATTAAGTTATCTTTAGTCCCTGCGTGGACTTTTGCTATAAATAGAAGCTGGGGTAGCTAAAATGAGGAGGCGGTCATTTATTTCTCAGTTGTTGCCTTGTTGTCTAAGTCCCGGTTGCCTCTTACCTACGTTGAGATTATTCCTATCAATAAACATCATCTTCACAGCTCAATTTGGAAATCTTCTGTGGCGACTCAGTTCAGGACAATCATGGAATATAATTCTTCTGATTAAAAGATTGATGGCCCAAATACTTCTCAGTTAGAAAACAAGGTGGTTCGTGAGATTTATATAGATTATACTCAAGAGGAGATCCTAACTGTTACAAGACAGGTAGACGAACCTCAAGCTACCTGGTATATACTATTATAAATGGAATCAACAGCAAGGCGAGAAATGCAGAATCAACAGCAAAATATGTACCAGTTCTGAAAATTCCAATTCAACAGTTAAATCGCTAGTTGGAAGGTTTTAAGGTACTGGGTGACAGTAAGTCACTATCAGAATGGTGGATTGACGAAGGAAAGGAAGCAGCAGCAGTTTATGATGGGTCAGGATTCCCAATTGATGACAGAATAGGAACTATTATCCAGCAGAAACTTTATATATTGGAATTGGGGGGGAACTGACCCGGTCCTTGGCAGGGAATGGTGGATTAGTTTAGGGAATGTAGAGGTTAACTTTCAGAAGCAAAGCATCAAATGGCAACAATTTGGGGAAACTGACCTGGTAAAAGTAAGTGGATGTGCTTTATGGTGGCCAGCTCCTGTGCAGGGTGTGATTATATTTCAGAACTTCTATTTGCTAAAAGTGGGGGAAAAGATATATTACTGGAAAGGGGTGAGAAAAAGATTGAGAGAATTCCCTAAATAGGAGTAAAAACGTTTTGAAATTCCAAAATAGGAGTATCATGTTTTTTATTCCTTGAATAGGAGTAATCTGCCAAGTTTGGAAGAAAATGCCATGTTTAAAAGCCTTGTAATGCCAAACTTGGCAGAAATTTACTCCTATTCAGGGAATAAAAAACATGATACTCCTATTTTGGAATTTCAAAACGTTTTTACTCCTATTTAGGTCAATTTCTGAAAAAGATTGTGGATGTTGAAGTATAGGGCCAAGCTCCTTTGGGTGCAGATGTTATCTTAGTCCTGAGTGCCTGGGAAAAGAAAGGGGTGCGGAATGATCCACAGATTTGTGCAATTGAAAGATCAGTTTCCACTCGTTCAGGTGTCAAGTATAGGGTGGCCACAAAGAACTGCAAATCGGTACTTGCTGACTCGGGATTGAAAAGGGCTGATGAGTTTGTGCTTGATTACCAGTCAGGTGGAATCAGTATGGATCGGGACTCTACTATCCAGAATTGATGTCTCCAATAGCGAGCACCTGATGGGTTTATCTTTGAAAATAGAAGTTGTTAATAATATCAAAGTTGCTTTAGAATTGCTGCATGGAATGAAAAATCTTTATGAAGCTTATCAATGGGCAGTCTACACTTATAACCACTCTCCTATGATGCAATCCAAAGAGGAGCCAGATGATTTGGATATACGACTAGAAGTGATTAGCTTGATTGGGGGCCTCTTTGCTATGTCCAATTGTGAGATCCAGGAGGTTTTTCGTCCAGTAATTACGGAAGTCCTAAGGAGGTCTACTGATAGAACAGTTCAAGTTCAGATGTGTGTCCTTAAAAAGGTTATAGCTTGTTTTCTCTGTGATTCCTTAGTGATGAAACTCCTCAGATTATTTCTGTTTTATGGAAGATACTGATGGATTATGATGAAGATGCTCATAAGGAAAGACGTGTTGTTTTCTGCAAGGTAGCAGGTTGTGCCTCATTATCCATATATTCTGAATAAATTAAGACAGTTGCGAAGAGACTTAGAAAAACATTTGTCCTCCTAAAAGGATATACATGGGAGAGGCTAGCTGAGGTATACATAAAATATTGTTTGAGCTGCTCCATTAGGTGGTATAAAAACTTTGAGTTTAATTGGATCCCTGGGAAGATGTTGAGGTGATATTATAACTAGAATTTCAGATCAGAGGCTTTTGAAGTTGTTCAAGGTCTTCAACAATATGAGGACAATTCCCTTGAGAAGTGGTGGGAACAAAAGCAGAGGATACAAAAGGAGATGCATGTGCAGGGAGATTCAAACTTTTGCAGCACCAGGGAGCATTCTGTCACCAAGATATTGTTTCTGCTCCATGCAGTGAAGAACTGGAAGATGCAGTTTCAAGCACGTGAGCTAAATGTCCAAAAATTCGGGAGATACTGGGAAGGAAGAGGTTCCGGGATGAAGAGAAAGTTTAAGATCAAGGTTGTGTCCTGTCATCCACCTTGAGGACAAGGTGGTTGTTTAGGGGTGAGTAATGTTAGGCATCAGCCTAATCAGTATTTTGATAAGGTGTATGAAAGGAGAAATAAGAGGGTTAGGGGAGTTAAATAAGCTTATCAAGTGTCAATAGCTTATTAAGTGTCTATAGCTTATTAAGTTGTCTTTAGTCCCTGCGTGGACTTTTGCTATAAATAGAAGCTGGGGTAGCTAAAATGAGGAGGCTGTCATTTATTTCTGAGTTGTTGCCTTGTTGTCTAAGTCCCGGTTGCCTGTTACCTACGGCGAGACTACTCCTATCAATAATCATCATCTTCCCTCATTCATTATCTTCCCTCATTCATTGCCTTGCCTGTCTATCTCTTTTTATAGGATTATTGCAGGTTGCTTACATTCATTAGAAGAAGAAGAAAAAAAAAAAAACTGGACTCTTTAAGTAGAACCACATTAAAAAGATAGAACAAAGGAAGATTGCCTCAGAAGAACGCCTCAAGGCGTACGGCACTCTTAAGGCAAAACAAATGACAGAGAAGGGAATAGTGCTAACAACAGATATTTTAATTTTAATAAAATATGTAAGAAATTCTTGAAGAACTCCTGGGGGCTCATGATAGGAATCTGGCTTAGTAGGCTATTAATAAGAAATAATAATAAAAATAGTAAAGGTACTTGTAGTAGTATATTTAGAAGGGAAGGGGTTATTAGTAATAGTTGGCATATCCTTATGTGGATATTGGCTATAAATAGATGGATTAGCAACAGTTGTAGGCAGACTGTTATTTGGATGTACTGTTGCCTAAGAAGTCCCTGTCCCTGTCCCTTGTTACCTACGGTTTACCCGATTTCGTGAATAAACAATATTTCACTATCGGTTTTTCAGATCTGTGTGTTCTTCCATTACTTTTGGACTGGATTATTACCAGGAGGTTCCTTACATTGGTATCAGAGCAATAAGCTCCTGGGGATCGAACTTGAAGAGCGACTACTGTGCAGAGTTCTCGTTCAGTGGTGGAAGGTTAAATTGTAGTCGCAATACATCGATGAAAGAAATAGCAACGATTATGGAGGTGATGCAGGCAAGCATCGCAAATAGGGAGAGAGACTATTCTAAAGTGTCTCGCCTGTATTTTCTCATTCTATTTTCTGTTTACGTTGGTTTCCTATTTCTGCCATTGTAATTGCTGAGGATATCTGAGGACGTCCTCAGAATCCATAGTTGAATATATAAGTAGGAAAGAATACCTCTGCCACACAAAGTGACAAAACTCAAATTTGAGACTCCGCCCTCTTGTTCGTTAGGTTTTAAGGTGAAACTGATAGGGGGCACTAACCCAGACATAACACGAGACACTATATTACCTTCTATTCTTCCCTCAAACTGAAGGGGTAAGGCATGAGCTATCCTGAATTTGCCTAGAGGTAGTAAGACCAGTAGTAGAAATTGAAAGCAAGTAAAAGTAGCTAGTAAAAAAGACTTCAATACCAGCCTAAAAAAACACCTAAATCCAAATCAGGAGGGTGATTTATTGCTAGGGGAAGGACTATGTTTTTGGGCATTGGACTGGTCATTGGTTTCGAAAAGAAAGCTATTTGAATCACTCTCTGAGCTCCATACAAATACTCCCTCTGTATTTTTTGTTCTCTACAATATAGTTGGACACAACATTTAAGGGTGAAATAGTAGGGGTAATGAATAGTGTAGAAAAAGTAGGAGAGAAGGTGGAAAAGTATGAAAGAGAGGATTAAAAGTAGGAAAGGTAAGGGTAATTGAGTATTTTTAAAAGGAAAAACTTACCAATAAGGAAAAGTGTAGCAAACTTTTAAATACATCCAAAAAAGGAAAGTGTGGGAAAATTTAAAATACGGAGGGAGTATGTTTGATTTTGTTTAAAGTATTCCATACTAGAATGCCCAAAACTAAGATTGCTTACTTACTGAAGCAGTTTCAGCCCCATGGATGTCACATTGTCACATTGTCAATATTATTTGGAATTGGACAGAATCTAACAAAAAATAATAATCTTTAGGAAATACTGCATGATGATACACAACATATATGCAATGACATTACCTTGAGTAGTATGTTAATGATTCCTACTTTGTATTGAGAGGGGGGGGCGGGGGGGGGAGGTGTTTCCATGTTACTGTGTTAGTAGTGAATGGGTCAAATTACCACTAATTATCTAATGTCAGATCATAGGTATTGTTCCATTTCACATTTATCCCCGAAAATTTTTGTTCTTTCTCCACAACATTAAGAATCTAGATACTCTATTCGATGCACAGAAATGGTTCAGATACAAGGAAAGTTACACTGCAAAATTTGGGTTGTTTTGTTTCTTTAAGTCAGGATTGTGAATTAAATTAAAAATATAGGAGGCAAATATTCACCCTGTTCGAGATACTCTTGAGGATCCCATGGGCGTAAGATGCAGCATAAGGTGCAACGCAGGCCTGTTGGTGATTTCTTGTAAGAACAAGGCTTCACTTCAGCAAAAAAGAGCATATTCTCAGCGTCAGTACCGTTTTTCGGCCTAGCAACGAAGTTGAAATGAAAGATGCAGCCTTTGAACTGAAAAACACAGCCGAGTGCATCAACAAGCTCATACTCAGGGCCCTGATAAAAATAATAGGGCACGCAAAACATGGTCAGAATACAAATAGATGCCTAATTTGGAAGGAACAACAGAACCAGGGTGAGTCTAAACACTAACCTGTTGATCTGGAATCGTATCGTTGAAACTTGACAAGGCGGTCTCTACTAGAAAAAGGGTTCGGTCCTTGGGATAGATTCCATCAATGGCATATCGTGGAGGGTTACGAGGCAGTTTTCTGTCAAAATCAATGAGCAAACAAGGACACACGCCAAATGAAAAGAGATGGAAAACAGATACTACTAGAACGCGGTACACAGAGGAAATAGATTGTTTTAAAAAAAAAAATTGAGATGCAAGTATGCAACGATCCAAAGTAAAAAGCACAAAGTAATTGGAGCTTCCTGTGGAGATAATGGTCGAGATAGTGAAAACCAGACAACTAGTATTTAAGAAAAAACTACCGGGATTCAATGGGGTCAAGATCGTGTTCTTCCATCCTCGGCTTTCCGCCAACCCGAATACCCGATCGAATGGATGCAGCGAGGAATGATTAAACTAGAAGGGTAAGATGGTTTTCTTAATGACGAGATGGATTTCGGTTTAGGGTTCGATTTTCTCGGGTTTAGTTTTATTCAATTTCTATCAAATTAAAACCATTTGGTTTCGATTCAGTTCCGGTTCAGTTCGGTTTAGAGATTCGGTTTATCAAAGTGTAAAATATGAGTCTGTGGTACAAATGTTGTACAAAGCTTTTAGCATATAAATTTTCAAATAAAATTAAAGGAATCAGTGGTACAAATGTTATAATATTCACAAATTTATTCAAATGAATCATATAAAAAATATAAATGCATATCGCTATTGTTATCACCAAACATGTTTCCATAGAGGTAGGGTACAAAACACAACAAATACATATATTTTGTATGAAGTATTAGCTAACTTTGTCATAATTAATGTATGAAATGTGTAAAAGTTAAAATGACATATCCAAAGACTAAAGACTTATATCTATATATTATAAAGGCTTATAAAAACCAATGAAGGTTAGTACCCTTTTGGTCATGTTGGTGGTCATGTTATAGCTATATGAAGTTGTACATCATGGTGAAGGCATAGTGCCGTGGCAATATGTTCATGGGAAGGAAGCAGCCCTAGCCTCTGATTGGCCGATCGTTCTGCTGGCATCTAGCATTCACGCTCCAGTTTGACTGCCGCTCAGTGGGTGGTCCCCCACTCCCATCCCCTATCTGAAAGACACTTTTAAAGATGACAAAAGTGATATTAATTTCATCTTTTAGCCTATTTGTGAAAAATTCCCAAGAGATAAGAGAGAAGACCAAAAGGTGAGACAGTGGGAATGGTGAATTTCTAGGTTTATATAGTGCGTGTACAAATTGTACACCTTGTGTACTAAAAAACAAAATTGGATTTTACTTTTATGGCACCCCTAGCTAAAACGGTCTGAACTACCCCTAGAATATAATTTTGGCTGGAAATATCCTTTAATATTCAACTACATAACGATTAAAGTTGAAAATAGCCATTTATGTTGTAATATATTTTCTCCGTTCTTTTTAAATTGTAACGGTCCACTTTTCACGTTTGTCAACGCAGATGTTTGACCATTAGTAAAAAAACAAAAAAAAAATATTTTTTTGAAAATTTAAAATGAGAAGAATTTAAAAATATATTTTAAACATTTAATTTATATATAATACATTAATAAATAAAGTAGAGTCAAAGTAGAACATGTGAATAGCGCAAAAAGTCCAATGTTCCATTTAAAAGAGAACCGAGGTAGTGTGTAGTACTTCTTATGTTGTGATATATATACAGAATGTGTTCGATATTACGTACTAAAAGTTCCATTAAAAGGGCTGGAAATGGTAAATTATACCGTACACCCGGTTCTACGGTGCTCACCGTACAACCGGGTATTTTTCAATTAATTATAATTTCAAGGTCTTCTCTTTTGTGCTGCGCGTTGATGTCCTGGGAGGTGGAGGAGCCGATCGATGCTCCTCGCTTGGTCTTGGATACTGCTCGCTCGCTGCTCTCCGCAAAGTTCTGATCGATGCGCCGACCACCTGCCAAGTTCCGCAGAAGGAAAAACGCAAAGAACTTTCGCTACAGTTTTGTGAGTTGCCAAAGCCCAAAGCTGCTCTATAAGCAAAATCTTGAATTCTGCTCCGTATTTAGTTATGGAATCCCCCAAAGACAAATTACAACTTCTAATTTAATAATGTATTTTAATATTATATTTTAATAATGTACTCGCACATATTAATATTTTCTACTTATTATTTACTAACTTAAATTTTATGTTAATTATATTGAAAATGAGTATAGTGTTTATAACAAATGTGTATAACGATTAAAAGTTTTGAACATACAATATTGAACATACATAATTCAATATTTGAGCAAGTTAAAAAAAATTAAGAGCCCGTTTGGTAGCACCAAAATCGGCTATTTTGGCTGATTCTGCTGAAATTTATGATATTCTGGCTGGAGTGGCTGTTTTGGCTGATTCTGCTGATTTAAGAAAAAAATATTTTAAAAATATATTTTATTAATAAATTAAAGAAAAAATTATATGTAAAAATAGCTAAAATGGTCCTCTACAGTAACTTCAGCCAATACAGCCAGAAAAGTAACTCCAACCTTACTTTTTCGGCTTATTACACAATTCAGCGCGCGAAAGTAAAAGTTACGTGTGTGGTGAAAAAGCTGGCTGATAAGCCCGATAAGCCGAAAACAGAGTTCTCCAAACGGGCTCTAAATGAGCATACACAAATACAGATTTGAGCATACTAGACAATTCAAATGAGGTGCACAAATGAGAGCGTATCATAGATTTTAAATGAGCTTTTTGAATTTTTGGTTGCTCATTTCATAAGTAATGTATACTCATTTAATATTAGTGCAATGCTCATTTTAAAATGTTTCACATTTCAAACTTACTGCGTATTATATTACAATATGTTAAACTCGAATGAGTATAAGACCCAAAATGAATGAGCATACACAACTGAACAATTGAATTTTTTGATACTCATTTTGTAAATTATGTATGCTGATTTGGTACCCGTCTTCTACTCATTATATTTTACATAAGACTTGATTATAGACATGAGAGCACATATCATGATGCTCAACCGCATAATTCTAATACTCAATAGAGGAGATTTGATACTCAATTAAAATATGAACAAAAAACTTACGTTTTTCATATAAATGCTCATTTTATATGTTACATATGTTCAATTGGTAACGATGTTATGCTCATTTTTAAAATGTCATACCAATTCATTATTTCAAAAGTACCATATTACATTAGATTCACATATTGAAATTCATAGGAATTGATTATAGATATAATTTAATGAGCTTTTATAAAAAAAATAAGAAAAACAAAGTGAATTACAATATATGAAGCTGATATCACAATACTCACATTATTTTACTCTTAATACTCAGTAGAATACGTCTGATGTTCATTAAAAGTGTATTAATGCTCATCTAATGAAAAACCGCGATTTTCACTGAAATTACGAAAATGACACCGTTTTTAAATTGTGATATCAACTTTTTTTTTGTAATAACGCGGTGCTCATTATTGGACGCTTAATACTCATTACAATTGGACTATTGCTCATTAACAGTACACTGATGCTCATTTTGCAGAAACCGCGATTTTTACATTAATTACAAAAACGCCACCGAATTATTTTGCTATTTTTCCCTTGGGCCTGTTCCTGGGCCGGCTGTACGGTGCTCACCGTACAGCCGGTTGTACCATATACGTACTCAATAACTTTTTATTATTCAACATAACAATTGCATCATGAGCCATCATCATCTTAAAGCCATTGATGTAAACATAGAGGAACCCCCAAACTCTATAAGACAAAAAAACGTGTATGTATGGATTAATAATCAAATAGTGAAAGAGTTTATGCCGCGGTGGGGGCCTCATAATCAATTATTATTGTTGCTTTTATATTCACAATTCTGATCACTTTCTTTTTATGTTGATATATGCACTGCTCAGTCTAATAAAAACGAAAATATGTACTTTGGATACTGTATATGAAATGTATACTACAAATGAAATGTTTACTTTGTTCAGTCTAAACGAAAATGTGTACTTTGGATAAAATTCCAAAGTTTTTTTGTTTGCAATTTCATTTTAAAAGACAACATGCGTGTTGTATCTCCCGCACAGTTTGAGGGGGTGTAATAGCCTAATATATTTAGGAATCTTCCTAATATATATTTGGGAATCTGCCTAATATCTATTTAGAAATATTTTGAATTTTGGCAACTCTTCTACTATAAATATATCTGTTAGGGCTCCTATTGGAGTACCCCTTTCCCATTAGTTCACAGTATACAATTAGTTGGTTGGTGACGTTTATTCAAAGGAGAATATATATTTACTCGTAAAACCCTCCTCATCACCCTAATCAGTTCTTTTCCCACTTCAGTTTCATCTGCACAGACTTTCTTGGAGATGAAGAAAGCATGCATGCACAGTACAACCAGAAATAGGTAATTATAAGACTTTGGCTTCATGTTGTATATCTTCGAGCTACAAAAAATGTATGTGATGATGACAAATGCTATAAGCTTTTCTATGTGATTATAATGAGTGGTTTGCTAAAATGTCATCTAATCAGGGATTTATATACATGTTTGTGCACTCTAGAAAGGGAAATAAGTTTAATTATTAGTGCTAATTTTAGAAGCTACATTTTCGGGTCATTATTATTGTTGCTTTTATATTCACACAATTCTGATCAATTTCTTTTTATGACAATATGCACTGCCCAGTCTGATAAAAACGAAAATAGGTACTCTGTACGTATATGAAATGTATATTATGTATAGTATAAAACCAATTTCGTGTTTTACCCAAATATACAATTAGGTGGTTGTTGACGTTTATTCAAAGAAGAATATATATTAATTACTCATAATGCGTATTATCAACACTTTAATTTAATTTCTTAAATGGATTTGTTATGTTCTTTGCTTTTTGTTGCATGTAGAATGCTTCTTTAATCTAATTTAATTTAAATGTTGGGAAACTTATCATTAGTCTGGGTGTTGGTTTCCACAAATCTAACATTCTACGGTTTACTTAATATCTATATCGATCTATAATATAAATATACATTTGAAAGATACAATTACGGAAATTTTTTATTTTTTGTCATGTGTCACCTTCTAAGCAAACATTGATTTTCATATTTTAGATTCCTTTTTTCCAATTTAGTAGATACTAATACAGTAATACTTGTGTTACATTGGTATTTAAGTTAATTATATGAAAATTGATTCACGTTAACTTAGGACTAAACTACGTAATATGTTGGAATCCTGCGTAATATTTCAAAAACTTTGCTAGAGTTTTTCCCTTTTTTTTACCTTGTAAGGCCAAAACAATGCTAAATTAAAAATATTTACCAAACTACTGATGTCCTAAACCCTTGTTAAGAGAAGTGCCACTTTAAGTTACGCAAAAATTAAGAAACGCACGCTCTTCAAAAGGATTAAATAAGACAGGGACCCACCTAAATAAAATACCATGTTTATTTTAGAGTCCTACAATTTTTTAATTTGTACTCTGATTGTTACAAATTCCATCATTTGCAGTGGAACCAAAGACTCACTGTTTTTTGAGTTGGTAATATAATGGAATA